CATTACAGAACTTTCGATCATTGAATTTACTGAATAAAACTTCAAAATTCACTATTTTGGCATAGAAGGAAGAGACAATGACATTTTCAGTCTCACAAAGAATTTCCATAGACACTCATATACATGAAACCAATAAGAAAAATGTTCTCACCTTGATATTTTTTCTTTCATAAGTAAATTATAAATAAATTTTGATGAAACATATATAAAATCTTTAAAATTGTTTATGAATATAATATATTATGTATGTATAATAATAAAATTTATGTATATAACTTGTTGGTTCGGTTCGGTTATTTCTTCGATTTTTTTCGAACAAAACCATAACCAAACCAAATATTATCGGTTCTTAACAATCTAAAACCAAACCAAACCAAAACCCAAATTAAATCGGTTTGGTTTAGTTTTTCGGTTTGGATCGGTTTTTATCCAAACCATGAACACCCCTACCTGCATTACTAATCCATGCGTTACTAATATCTGCATTACTAATCCCAACATTATCAATGTTTGTACCAAACGACCCCTACAAAGTTAGAGGGCATAAATGTAAATTGAGATCAAATTAAAGGGCATATTTATGAGTTCTTTTTTTTGGCATAACACATAAATAGGACCTTTAACTTGGCTTGAAATTTTAACTTTGACTTACACTTTCAAAGTGCACAAAAAGGCATTTTAACTATCCAACTCTTAAATAAAAAAAACACACGAATCTCACTTGGCAAAACACGTAATATACACTCAATTTGCACACGTCAGGAGTAAATTTCGAGGACCAACAACAGTAAAAAAATATGTTGAAATGACAATTATACCCTTAATGAATCCCTTTTATATATATTTGTATATTTTCTAATCAAAATCTCATTGTTTTCATCTTCTTTCAAATCAAGCTTTATTTTCTCTCTTTAGCATGAATTCTACTCGATTTTAGTGCAAATGACTTCTAATTTTTTTGTCACTATGGGAAACGAGCTATAATTGAAGACTTCTTAGTCCGTAAACAATACAGGTCGTTGGTCTGCAAACAATCCAAATTAAAGCAAAGATTCTACCTTCTATCAAAAAATCAACTTTCAAAAGGGAAAAATTATGCATAGCTGGACTAAATTGAGGAAGATGAACAGATAAACATTAGACTATATGAACTTTTAGCACAAATCTTGAACGATTTTTCTCTTGATTCACGATTTTGGTTGTAAATCCCCAGCTAGGGGTTTGCAATTTTGAGAGAGAAACAGGGTAAAATGAAACAGTCTTTCACCTTTGTATTAATTTGAATATTAATTTAGTTTTTTTAAAATCCTAATATCTATTATTTTATTAGGAAAATATATTTTAGACTGATTTTAGAGTCGCCGCTTAATTTTTTAAGAAAAATCAAGAAAACTATTGTTTTCAAAAGACTAAAACAGAAATCTAATGAAAACTTAAAAGGGGTTCGGGGGTTCTTATTAACATTTCAGGAAGGGTTTGAAAAGCACCCAAAATGCCCGATAATACGCGGTTATTCGACAATTAATTATTTGGCTAAAATATTTTAAATTAACTTGAATTGAACAATTTTTATAGTTAGGACCATTTTAAGAGAAAAAAGAAAAAGTATTAAAATATTATCCAAATGAAGTATTTTGTAAACTTATTTATTTATTTATTAGGTCAAGTAAGAGCTGAATAGTTTAGTTAAATAATTAATTCAAAATGGGTGTCTCTTGGGGACTTTGAATTCTTAAAACATTAAGATTAAGTTGCAGATATTGATAAGTAAATAAACACAACAAAAGCAAAGAGGGAAAGAGACTTGGACCCACGTTTTATTTTTTCTGTCCGCCTGGACCAATACTTGGGCCTAATTTTAGTTTTGGGCCTTTGGCCCATCAAAATCATTTGTACCTGTCCTATTCTAACATGCTAAAAATATTTTATCTTTGGGCCTAAGGCCCAATTCTTCCACCTGTCCTAGACTAACACATATATAACAATTAAAATGATAAAAGGGCTTAGGCCCAAAGTAACAAAATACAATTCTATGGAATTAAGTGTGGGCCTTTGGCCCAATCTTTTCAATTTCTCGATTTGCTGCATATTCTTTCAACTCCGAAACCTGTTCGTCAATTTTTATAGCTGGCCGGTTGACTCGATAAAGGAATTTGGAGCCTTTATGGCTCTCTCGAAATGCAAGGGAAGGAGATAGGAGTTCATGAAGAACTTGGGCAGATTTCACATGCAAAAAAAAAGGCAAGAAATTAGCATACGAAATGAAGAAGTAATTAAGATATGACTAAAAAAAAAATAGAAGTTATTAAGGCATTTCAAAATCAAAATGCGATAATAGAAAAACCCAACTATTAGATGCTTTAAATAATGAGCACAGAACTAATGCAACTATCTAAATATATCGAATTTTATATACACACACCACATGACCTGCAAAAGCACAACTCCTTTCTGTTTCAAAGGCCATTATGTCATCAATACACAAATCTCTCTACCTTTCACCAAATATCTCAAAAATTTAGTAACGTACAAATCTCTCCACTGTTGAGTACAAAGATGAATACAAGCATAGGCAAATGTAAATAAACAAAATATTCAAGAAGATGACATCGCATCGATAAACCCAACTAAACTGAGGAACAAGTATACTCCTAATGGATGCTTTGAACCGGACAGCATGAGAGAATCACTTTAATATCTAGGCAAGGAGATTTTTAGCTAAACTGAAGCATTTCGACAAGGATCTTAAGGCACAACATCATAAATTAAAATGAATAGAGAACTACACACGAGACAAATCAGCAGCATCACATATATGTTCGAGATTTCATTGGACGGAAATAGACCATTTAACATGCTAGCCAACTAACCTCATAGGAAAAACAACATTCGTAAGAGCACATCTCACATTTCATACAACCGAGATGCTAACTCCCCTCTAATCACTTGTCTATCACATAATCAGTAATGAAACGGGGAGAATGATGGCAGTCAAGAAAGAGAGAAAAGCTAGCGTGTCAATCAAACAACCACAACTTGTCAAAACAACGCATCGACTAAAGAGTTGGAATTGAAACGGAGTTTACCTTCTTAAATGCAGCGATCTGGGGCAAGACGAGCAGCAGAGCAACCTTCCACCACAAGAAAGCTCAAATACAAACAGTGAGTTAGTGATTCGGGCAGAATCTCGGACTCACGAAAGCTGGACAACGATAACAAAACGAGAGAGAAGAGTGACCCTCCGACCGACACTAGCTGTCTTTTATCTTTTATCAGACGTGTTTCGTATGTTCTATCACTATAGTTTGAGCTGTTCTCTGGGTATTCCTCTCTCTGCTTTTCTTCCGAGCTTTTCCCAATATTTTTTCTTCAACATAAAATTTTCCAACTCCAAAAATCCCCCCCCCCCCCCCAATCCCCCCCCCCCCCCCCAATCAGTGAGTAAGAAGAGAATATATATAGGGGATTATAGGGTTCCTGGATGGAGGGAAAACAGACAGAAAATGATAAGAAGGGGGTCAATTCAAAATACAAAACTCCCCAAACACTTTCACGATTCGGGTGAGGCACCTTTTTTTCTTGTGATTTCAACCCATTCCGGAAGAGGAAAGGGGAGAAATCGCGTGCCTGCTGCCTGCTGCTGTGCTATTAATGCGGATAGAGATGGGAGGGAGACGACAAAATTGCAGCG